ACACCAGAAATTTCAATTTCTGAGTCCATAGATTCCTAGATACTCAGATAGGAAAAAGGCTTCCTTACAATACTTTTAAAAATACAACAGTTCAAGCATTACTGTTGAGCTACAATTTCCCATAGGAATCGAACATTGGCATCACTGCCAGGAAAAATCCTAACCTCAGCGGTCATCGCCGAACATTAAATGGTTAGCTCGCTTGACCCTTCCGACTAATAATGTCGGCCGTCACGACAGCATTTACTCAAGTAGCTAATCGTGCCGGCGGTCCTAAACGAGATCAACCACATATACAACTATAGCCTCCACACTTCGAGGTCTAGCGTAAAGCTTCCCTCGCAAGTGTTTCCAGCTAACATCATAATACCAATCAGATTAAGTCACATAGGGCACATAACATGAAAGTTGACGAAAAGTTAATTTTTGAAAATTTTTAAGCATGCGTGTTGAATTCAAAATGCATATAGTTTCCAGTCTACAGATCATATCATGATGAAACGATTTGGAAAATATCCCTAACTCATGCCTCTATCACTTACATGAAGAACACTCAGGCGGATAAAGTCATTTAAAGGCACATAATACAGCAAACATCCAAAACATGGGTGCAGTGGATAAATAAAGATATGCAGCTTGACAGGTTCTCAGTGTATGCACAATAACCGAGCTACAGACATGATATTATTGAAATTCAAGAACCCCAAGGTAGATAATTCAATTCTCTATAACGTCTTTGAAGACTCCATTGGCAAATTATAACATTATCAACAAGTTTTAATATAAAACATTTAGTTTGCAAAAACAGCCAGAGAACAATTTTTCGAAAATACAGCACCTTAGTAAAATTGAAACAACTCAAGCTAAACAACTCCAATTCATACAAACTCAAAACCAATATAATCTACACATGGAAATATACAAATTTCAGGAAGAAGACTGTTTCATAAGAACACGTTTATGTCACCTAAAGCGAGTACACATTCAACACTTAAACAAAATTCTGGTTTCATAAAAATTGGATGTACATTCCACTTCGAAAAATTATATAAAATCAACTGGAACTCCAAATCATATAAACCAAAAACCTGCAGAAACTACACAAGGAAAGCTACAAATTTTTTTAAGAGAATGTTTATATATCATCACGTTAAGGGCATCAATTTAGAGCATACATTTCATGTATACACCCAGTCACTGCTTCAAAATTCTGGGCATAACACCAACTTAGAAAAATCATATAAAATCAACTAAAATTCCAACTTGCATGAATTCAACTCCCAATGAAAGCTTATAAGATGTACTACATGTTTCATGAAGAATATATTTTCATGCAGGCATGTTAAGATCATCAAAAACAGCCATGAATTAAGGTCAAAGTTTCTGTCCGAGTTTATAAAAACTGCATGCTTGCCTAACTTTGAAAAATCATAAAAAATTCATTTTAACCCCCAAATCACAAAATTCCAAAACTCACATAAACTTCATTCAGAGAACTACAAATCTCATGAAGAACACTTGTCCAAGAAACATCATCTCATTTGAGTAAAAATAGAGCCTAACTGAAGCTCGAAAAATTGAATTTTCATGCCTTCATCAACTCAAAATGATCACTCAACAACCTAGCCTCGAAATCACGTAAGTTACACGTTAAGCAAGCCTCAATATCAATACTTTAAGACTTAAACATCAATATCATCAAACACGTTGTCCGAGGTCCAACTCGGTCTTATTAAACAAGATAGAAAAATAAAGTCTTATGCCTTTCACTTGAATTATTACATCTTTTGGTTTGATAATATATAACAACTCACATTAATACATAAATTCAACCTCAATCATCGAAGATCACATATACATCACATGAACCTGACCAAACCTATCATGATATAAACGAGACTCTCAACCTAATACACTTATCTCATCATATCACACAATGGGGAAATCAACAAATTACATAATCCCTATCTCTTATCCGACTAACCATGCTTCGAGTTAGCATGAACTCACCCTTACTAAGACACAAGAGATACCAAACACATAACACACCAGAGATTGAACAGAGGTCATGAACCTCCATGATACTGACAACCTATAAAACATCGACTCATCTAATAATTTCGAAACCTAACAAAGGTCCGAAGAGGGCGAATAGATTCTCGGTTCTCATTGACCGGGTCCTCACTTGAAGACATTGAATATAATTATATAGCAAGGGAAACTGCTATGGGCATAACTTATCTCGATAACAACATACTGAATCTCATAGCGAGGAACCTCTAGAGTCCGAACTTAACTCTATATCACTAGAGTTCAACATCAAACACTAGAGTTCACATTAAACCAAAGGTGGATAGATTTCCTAAGCCCCAAATAATTACATGATATATATCCATATGTCCATTCACATCACAAGTAGTTTCATTGCTACTTATGTAAAAATACAAAATTTCACAATATAAGTATTTTCATTGATGCTTATAAAACATACCTTTAAGCAGCGCGGCGTGACGAAGACGAGTGGTCGGATACAATTTCTAAACACTTAATCACATATAAACCAGTCTACAGAAACGCAGACTGGCTCTGATACCAAACTGTAACGCCCCACTTTATTTTAAAGGATTTATCGAATTTATTAAATAAAAATCACAATAAATTTTTCGCAAACTTTAATTTAATTAAAAACTCAGTGGGCGCTACTCAAATTTACCAAAAGCCTTTAACCAAAAATGCAAACGTATCAAATAAAGACAGCATGCACGAATAATAAATCATAAACCAAACTGGCATTCATTAAGTTCCAAATCATAAAGATAATTCACAATTCCAAGTTTCAAACGACATGATCAATATCCAAATTTCGACATGAGTTCATAAACTAAGCGGAAGCAAAATTAAATAAATAAATGTCATAACCACCACTCGTCATCTCGTCTCGTCACCCGCCAACTGCTTAACCTGCATCAGTTACGAGCAGGTGGGAGTGAGTACAGTTAACTATCGTACTCACACTATGCACATGAATAACTTATAAATGGTATAGTCGCAGCATGAACATAAACAATTAAATCATGTCACATCTCTAGTCACATCAATGACTCTACTCTCATCAAAGACTCACTCATGTACATCTACGCTCATCAAAGCTAAGCCATGCCATATCAGTGAAACATGGGAGTGCGTGCCACATCAATGACACGGCCTTCTCATAGGTCTTAATGAGATTTACCTCACGGGGTAACCGTATCTTATCATACGGGGACAACCGTATCGACGGCCATCAAGCTCACATCGATAGGCTACATGTTCATTTTCATACATAGATCACACTAACTTTTATCACAATTTAAATCACACATATGCATAGATAATTTTAGAATAACCCACCTGGATTCCGGATTGATAATAACTCAAAGCAATGGAAGTAGGTCGAGGCTGGACTCCTCAATCACCTACATTAAGTCAAGATGCTACAATCAACATCTATCTTGACTTTAAACGGAAAACACAAAACAGACCTAGTCGAACTTGTTTCGACTAAGTAGTTCGTGAAGTCCTGTGGACGTTGGAACACTTAGACTCGGCACTATACTCGACCAGACCATATATGGGAGATCACATAAATCCATCTAAGGATAGACCAAGTTCAACTCACAACAGAATGGAAAGCAAGTTAATCACAGATTTAACTTCAAAATCATAGTTTAAAAATTTACTAGCTATTAATCACATGAAATTCATTGACCAGGCTGCCCTTCCACTTAGGCTCTGAAATTTTACAAAAAGTTACATCTTCCAGTAATAAGTAAAACCATAAATCTTCAGCTTCAAACTCAAAATACATTAATTTTTAAAATTCGAACAAGATATCAACAAAATGGGAACATTAATTCATACTCGAATTTAATGAACGAATCAGAACTTGGAAATTTAACACAACAACATACAGCATACTAAAGTCCATGTATAAAAATCTCAGCCTTAAATGTTGACTGCTACTATTTTTAAAAATTCATACGAGCAACAGCAGTCTAACAAATTTAAATCCAAACTGAATACAAACAGACTCCAAAAATTCTCATCTTCTACAAACCTGATTAAACACATAAAATAAGCCTCTCAGTAAAATTTCAGAATTTTTCATGAAGTAACCAATTTATAAAAATTTTAACAACACTTCAGCAGATTCGATAAATAAATTATTAGCCACATCAAATCAACTCCAAAAATTCTAAACATTTAACAAAAGATATAAAAGTCATAGAGGCATGACATATTCGAATTTCAGCTCATTTCATTCATGAATGAATTTCTTATGCATTTAATACTATTCTGCTCAGATTTACATTTTAATTATTATAAATAGCTACAGGCCTCTACAAATTACGAAATTTTTACACAAGGCTTGCAATGAACAGATAACATATCCCTCAAAATTTCAAGTCATTCCGATCAGTGTACGATTTTTAAAAATTCAAATACCAAAACAGCGATTCAAATGCTCGACAACTTAGAAATTAATTCACAACATAAAATTTCTCGTCCGAGGCCTTTTCATAGGACCAAGGGCTCAACATTGTTCCAATATCCACCGACTTACACGAATTTTGAGGTCTCGTTCGATTCTTGAGAAAATCGAAGAGGTCCCGTACATACGAACACATAAAATCATATTTATTACATAAAATCATAACGAACACATTAACGCACAATATTTACGTCACGCGAATCACACCTACTCATATATAACATAATCGATTTAAATGAGATGAGATCGAGCCTTTGTACCGTTCTCGGGAATCAAACGAAAACGGACGAACGTAAGGTTGACGGACTCGACGGAGGTTCGCGTCTCGCCGGAAGAGAAAAGCGCCGCAGTGGCTGAGAAGGACAAAGGGTCGCTGCCGTTAGGTCGTCGGAAGCTGCTCGTCAAAGTGCTGAACGAACGGAGGGGGTCTTATCGTCGGAAGCTCGTGGGTTGCTCGCGATGGATTCAGGCTCGCCGGAAAAAATCGAACAGAGGGGGGGTGACGTGATGAGGAGGTCCTGCTCACGAGTTGACGAGATAGGTTCACGATGATGGTCAAGCGTGAGGAGAATAGTTCGCCGAGAAAAAGAGGTCTGCCGGAAGTTCGTCGCGATGGCGCGTTGCAGCGGCAAAGGAGATCGTCGAGGCTGCTAGGACTCCTGGTTCGCGACGTGCTTGCAGGTCGCCGGAAGTTCGCCGTTCCACGGCTGAGGACGGCGATGGCTCACGAACAGGAGAGGAGATGAGAGGTGATGATCGGTTTCTGATGGCGAGGGGATGAGGAGCGGCAGAGGCGAGAGAGAAAGAAGAGAGATTGAAGAAAAGGGTCACAAAAGCTGCGGGATTTGGTTCTGGGAGGAGAGAACCGAACAAGAAAATATATATACTCTCCTTAGGTTAAACTATGTCTTGCTACCCAAGTCCAATAAAATTTCCCAAACCCTCTCGTGAAAAACCAAGGGAAAAATAATAGCTGGGCCGGTTTTGGCTTGTAGGGCCGGACAGTTTTTGGGCCGAATTTGTGGTTCAAAGAAACGGTTCTCTCGGGCTCAAAATTCGCGGTTTAATTTAGCAATAAAAATGGCTCGATTCGCACGATAAATTAAAATAATAATCGGCTATTTATATAAAATATATTTCACGCATTTAATTAAATAATAATACACATTGAGCATTTAATAGACATTTAGACATTTAAATAAAATAATAATAACAATAATAAAAATAGTAATAATAATAATATTAATAATAATAATAATGACAATAAATATCAATTAAAATCCCAAATAATCCTCAAACGAACGGGGCGCTACAAAACCACTATGCTCCGCAAAGACCAGTACTGAATAAAACATCATCTATAATAACGTGTCATGAACATAAATATATAAGAGCTGAAACTGTAAACTTTTCTTTTCTTTCTTTTCTGTGGTCAAAAGACCCTCGGCCCTTAGGTCGGCTGCTCGTGTGCACACGCCGATGGGGTATAAAGGCCCTCAGGTCGGCCCCCCACCGGTCATCAGATGGGATATTTAAGCCCTTAGGTCGGCCCTCACCTGGATACTAACTGTCTCAAACATACCTCTGCCATGGTACAGATATTATCTATGATGTGGAATCCAGTACATGACCTCCACCTGAAAACTTGGAATCTGATGCAAGTGATGATACTAGGTAGCGGTCGGAGGCTCGACTCTCCTTAGGCTACATAAATATTTAAGCAAAATAATGCTAAGTATAATGCTCGAAATATTTAATTATGTGCTAAAATGCTCGGACTTATCTACGCGATTAAACTGGACTGGACTGGCTCGAAAAAATACTAAAATTTCAGAAAAAGACTCGGATCGGAAATCACGAATCAAAATTGACTCGAACCGCCGGTCGAACCAATGTTTGGCTTGGAGTGCAAGTCAAGGCTTTTCAAGATCCCTTAGTTATTTAGGTTTCCTTATTCCATTATGATTTCTAGATTGTTTAGGACTTTAATATTTTATTGCTTGAATTAGTGATTTAGTTCCTTAGGACTTTATTTATTTCCAAGCACTAGGAGTTCTTTTTAGATTAGGAATAGACTTAGTTTGGCATCTATAAATATGCCCCATTGTCATTCGAAATTATCATTCAAAAATTAATAGAAAAACCGAACTTTTGTTCAAACACTTTGCCTTAGATTTCTTCTAGATTTCTTTTGCAATTTTATCGTTTCGAAGGGGCGCGGTTGTGTGAACCTACGAGGCACCTATCGGCGATTCAAGGCACTGGTTTGTGGCTTATCGGCAATCGGGACACGTGATCTTCATCACGCTGCTGGCGCGCTGTCGCGGCACTGGGGCTGCGGGTACCTCGCGCACGCTGGCGTGGGCAGGGCAGACTACGGGGCCGGGCACTACCGCGCTGTATGCGCGGCCAGTGACCAAGGCCGGCCCTTGCCAAACCTCCGGCGACTTTCTCCGGTAACATGCATGACATATGAACATAATATGATGAATGTGCTACAAATATGCTATGAAACACTAGTGGACCCCGGGTCCACGTGCATGTTCACTCGATAGGGCCTAAATGGCACGTACTAGCACTTGACGTCCGAACCAACATTCATAACTTACAAAACTACTCAGGGCCGAATGATTATCCTTTAAAATGATGGTTAAAATGGCCAGGAACATGGTTCATAACTTTCATGCATAAGGTTAAGCCTTAGGTGCCTAAATTAGCGTATTCTCATGAATGAAATGACTTAGCTAATGAACTCTATTTACATTCAAATTTTTACACCATCAATGACATGATATTTAAGGGTGATTTAGCTAAGAATCTCGACTTTAACATGCTAGCTACTAAAATTTCATTTTTAAGGCCATTTAATATATAAATTCAAAACTTAGGTTATATCATGTGCATGGCTTCATATTTATGCATGAAAGATCCTCAAACATAAATAGGCTGTGGTAAAAATCAGGTCAAGCTAACCTTCACCGATCGAGAGAATTGGCTAACGGCTTAGAACAGGGGATTGAGCACGACTTTTGGAGGTTTGGCTCGATTCTTGTTTGGAAAGGCTGAGTTAAATGAACCCAAAAGACTTAGAAAAATCTAAGGAATACTTAGAAGTTGCTAAGCCCTGAGGGAATTCGCTTGGACAAGGCTGTGGTGCGGTGGTGGTCTCCTCCTAGTCGCGCGCGCGTGTGTGATGGGCTTTGAAGTTGGGTTCGGTTCTCTCTGATTTTTCTCAAGTGTTGCTCAGGCTTCTTAGTGTCAAATGAGTTCAAAAAGTCTGAATAACATGTCTTAAGTAGTGGGAGGGGCGGAGCTAGCTATGCAAGAGTGTGGGGGACAAAAATCTATGACTTTGCACCATACCATGCGCATGGGAACTTGGGGGTTCTTGGGCACAGTTTGCATGGAATCTTTGGGTGGAATGGCAGGTGTTTCAGAGCCCTAGGGTCAGGTGGAGTGGACTGGTCAGACATGATTTAAGACTAAGGGACAAGATTCCACTATTGGATTAAAATAATCAAAGACCCATCACTCCACTTTGGTTAAGCATAGTTTGACTTTGGTTAATCTTGCTTAGGGCCATATTATCTTAAATTAATCCTTATTAAGTGTATAATACACGCATGAAGAGGTCTTGGGTGAAAGTGGGCCGAAACTTTTCCATTTGGGCCCAAGAAGATGGGCTGGCAGGGCTGTCGCTGGGCTGGGCGCTGGCTGCTGGGCGCGGGGATACTGGGCCGGCGCGAGGGCGTGCTAGGCTGGCACGAGAGCGCGGGCTGCGCGTGTATGGAGCTCCTTTGAGCCGAGTTCATCACTTGTTGAGGCTTCCATGGTGATTTCCATACTTAGTAAAATTTTATCAAATAATGCTAAGGCTTGGCAAAGCCTTGGGCTCGGCTAACACTCGCTTGGGCGCGGCTAAGGGCGCGGGGCTCGAGACAAGCACAAGCGGCTCGGGTGAGCTTGGTTAGGCATTAGCGTTCAGTTATAAAATGTCCGAGACTGACTTCTTGATATTCCAAGACTTAAAAAATTAGTCTAAGTATAGAAATACCAAGACTTGGCTATGCTCGAGAATTAACTTGAAAAATAATCGGAACTAAACTAGGGTTCAAAGCCGATAATTTCTCGAGTCAATTAACTAGAACTTATCAACCCAAATTAATGGATTGATCTTGACTTATACTTAATATAGAAAATTCCCAAGAATGATCTATCAATATTTGAGCGTTTAGCATATAAAATATAACTTGAATAATTCTGAAAATTACAGATTTCACTTATAGTCGAGCAGTGAAACCGTTCTTAATATTATTTCTGATTTGGGACATTACAACCTATCCTCCTTAAAATATTTCCGTCCTCGGAAATATAAAACTAAGGTACTAGGCCAGAACTCCTACTACAAAACTATATACATCAAAGCATAAAATAGAAAGTACATATATGTACAACTGAAAATCTCAAAACTCGAAATCTGGATAACAAGCTCTGATCTCGGCCCCTCTCTCCCAAGTGGCTTCCGACTCGTCGTGGCGACTCCAACGAACTTTGACGAGCTCTATATCTCTGTTCCTCAGCCGACGGATCTTTCGGTCCAGAACTGCTACCGGCCGCTCATCATTCGTCAGGTTCTGCCCGACCTCTAGCCCGTCAAAGTTCACTATGTGACTCAGATCGTACACATACTTTCTCAACATCGACACATGGAAGACGTTGTGTATACTGGAGAGCTCTGGGGGTAGCGCCAGACGGTAGACTGTTACGCCAACTCGTTCGAGAATATCAAATGGCCCTATGAATCGGGGCTGCAGCTTCCCCCTCTTCCCAAATTGGACGACGCCCTTCATCGGCGTGACCTTCAGGAACACTTTATCTCCCTGCTCAAACTCAAGCTCCCTTCTACGCTTGTTAGCATAGGCCTTCTGTCGGCTCTGAGCCTCTCTCAACCTTTCTCGGATCTCGGCGACCTTCTGCACTGTGTCCTCGATCAACTTGGGACCGAGAACCTGCTTCTCGCCGACCTCATCCCAATAAAGGGGTGAGCGGCACTTGCGACCGTATAAAGCTTCGAATGGCGCCATCTGAATAAAAAATTCATTCCCAAAAAGATGTCTGACTTCAGTTTCCATATCCCACATAACTAACAGCCCCCCTCTAGTACCAGTAGGCTGCTCTAGATGCCATCTATTGTCATACCCTAACTTTCTACAAACTGTTCTAGTAAAGTAATAGATTTTTTGGTCTCAGATAAAAAAATTACATTTGAGTGGTGGACTCTTCTTGAGTCCTTGATCTGGGAAACTATACAGGGCCCACCCAGCCCTCTACAGTTCCACACCATAGCCTTCATTTGTCACCTTGGGGCCATTTGAGGCTGGCCTTCTCCACCTTAATTTCCATGCTAGAGTCTTTCCTCCTCTTATCTCTCAAACCCTCTCCTGTGTTTGTTGTGTCTTCTGACACTAATATAATTTCCCTGTTTCTCTTCAGTGACTGATGGGGTGAAGACTAATAAAGATTTTCAAGGCTACTACTATGGATCTGCACTTGGTTCTGGACCTCCATCCTCACAAGTCTGCCTTCAGTAGCTGCTCTTCTTTTCCATGTGGTGACTTTCCTTATGCCCTTAGCAATTCCCATAGTTGGGTCTTCTCCAGTTCTTTACTTTCAACCATTTGGGCAACTGAGGATTCCACATCCATTTTCTTCTCTGTTCCTTTATCTGCCATCTGGGATGATTCTACCACAGATACTAGTTCCAATCCCCTAACCTCCTCATTCTCATTTGAACTCTCCATGTTATCTCTTTCTTGGGTCTTTGTGGTTGTAACATTTGGTTCCTTGGTGAGGGGATGGTTCTTTTCAGAAATAGCATTAGCCGACACCAGTGATTCATTGTGAAGATGCTGTTGGGCCTGGTTATCTTTCCCTCCTGAGCTGCTAGCTTGGCTGTATCTCCCCTAATGGTAGGTTTCTTTTGCCTTCAGCCACTCCCCATATTGCCCTTCCTCCACTACTTGTTTCTCAATATCCTCTGGTCTACTAGTAGATGCTCTATCCAGATGACCAATCCTTCCATAGAAAGCCACCAAAACTCTGAGAGGACCTAGCTTAACCGATGTGCACCGAGGAACAGGTTCCTTCAAATTCAAAGAGACCAACAGTTTTAATAAACTACCTTGTTCCCCACCCATTTTACAGATAACTACATTCTTGACCCCATTAAAGATATGTCCAATCCGCATCCCTACTTCTGTACTCATCCAATGAAGTGGTACATTAAGTACTTGGACCCAAATGAGTAGTTCCTCAAAACATTTGTGAGAGCTATTCATACCTGGAAACCACTCCTTCAAAATAAGGTATTGGTTCTCATATAACCAGTTATGCCCCATTGCCACCTTCCTTTTATCTTCTTGAGATGAGAAAATAAATCGGAAGAAGTTTGAGCTGATTTCCTTGACTTCCATTGTGTGATGGAGCTTCCATATTGCGCTCATGGTGCGTTTAACCCCCATAATCCCCGCCGGTCTATGCCCACAATTTTACCGAAAAGACTTCTATTGCATTCTTCTTCACTTTTTTTTCACGTCATCTTGTTGGAGCTCAATGTCTCTAGCTTCTTTAGCAGAAAGCGAAATAGCGTGTAATTTCCTCATCACATCCTGGCCCAAGTCACTAATGGAGGTCCTTCCCGAAGATTTATCCCCCATGTCTGCGATTGAATGTCGGTCCCTAAACAAATGAGAATCCTAAATTGCGATTCCAATTACACTTTACCAGCACCAACTGTCTACTATCGAAAGAATTAACAGATCACTCGATCAGAATTCAACACACTTCACCAAAGGAATTTCGCTCCCACCAGAAGAATTTCGCTCCCACTTGAGAGAATTTTCATAATCTTCCCCTTGCATAAAAAAAAATCAACTGCTGGCATGAGCAAATATATACACTATCATATTTTTATTTTTATATGTAGATCAAATAACATACCTTGAACTATTTCCATTTTTCATCAGTAGAATCATCTGGAACAGCCTCGGGTCTCTTAAGCAATTCTTCTTGAATTCTTATAATAGCATTTATAACTTGCCGAAAGTGTCTACTTATTGTCTCCCCAGAACGCTCAAAGTTTGCATTTATAACTCTCTGTTTTTTGGATATGGGCCAAAATATGTAATGTGATAGCAACTTGTTCATCAACTAGCATGTTTTTTGTTGCAAATACCATTCTAGTTGCTTCAAGTCTGGAACATAAACGATGAAAAGCTTGCCTATTCATTCTTGTTACGTTCTTGCACACGCTATCACTGGTATATATTATTTTTTGAATGTACTTTCTCCTCTCATAAAAATCATAGTGATAAACGGGTTTCAAAATAGCATGCTTGTAATAATATTTTACCCGGTCAAGAACTATAAGCCAAAAATAGTTTATAAGTTGCATTATGGTCGTCCAAAATGACAAACTTGCTATACTTTTTTTTCTCCTTATCAATTTTCGTGTTAATCCTAGTCGCAAAACACTCCGACCGGCTTGAAATCGGCTCGTCTTCCTCCTCCCCGCCGGTAGAACGCCGCGTTCCTGCAAAGAACTCTCACACCGGGGGGTTTTTTCGGTGAAGAGCCTTCAATGCTTAAGTCAGTGTATATTTTTCTCAATTTTCCAAAGTATGTAATGGATAAATCGTAAGTCACAAGAAAAAGACTCACTTCTACATATATATAGGAGTGAGATACCTTCCCTAGGAGCTGCCCGAATTTTGGTGAGCTGTCCTACCTGCACTGCTCGTCCGTACACACACAGTGTGCGTGTGTCAGAGATGCCAGAGGTGGTTATCGCCACTATTGCTCTGCACCAATGTACTCTTGCCACGTGTCCCTCTGAGTGGAGGGAGATTATTCTTCTGCACATGACATTGAGATTGTCTGACAAAGTCCACGCGCCCCCTCGCGCTCCAACCACACTCTCGATTGCTCTTCACCCCTCGAGCGCTCGATATGTTCGAGCTCCCCTTTCACCAAGTCGATCATCGACCATATCTGTTATCTTGCTCGATCACTTCCCTTTTGGCCGATTATTGCTCGACCTATACGATTTTCCCGATGTCAAGCTTCGCACGATCAACATGGTAAACCGGTTTATTCTATAAGCATATAATATCCCATATCATCAAGTCCCCCCCACTCTGGTCGAGTCTAAATGACTCGATCTAAGAGTGAATTCGTGTTGTCTTCTCCATTCTGCCGACCTCTCGATCTCTTGCTTAGACCTGACCTCCTCTCTCGATCGTCTCGGTTGATGCCAACACCATTTTTCGACCACGCGATTGATTTTATGGTGCATTTTAACTGTCCTCTATTTCCTTTTATTATTAGTGTAATTTCCGCCTGCCACATGTCCTTTCCGCTCCGTACCTTTAATCATCATGTCTTTTCGCGATTTGTGCCGCTTCGCTATCTGTGCCCCTTTAATTCTCCCAGCCGTTAGATCTCGCTCTCATCTAACGGCTAGTTCCACTTACTCTTCGCCTTATGCCTTTGTATAAATACCGGACTTAGCAAATTTTTCCGCTTTTCTCACCTCTGCAATTCTCAGCGTACTTGTGCCCTAATTTCTCTCTGCAAATTGCGCTTTCTCGCTCTCGGCGCCTTCATTGAACATTTTCCGGCAACCGTCTTCTACTGCGACCATGAGTAAGTCTTTTGTGCTTTAATTTTGTGTTCGCGTGTGTTTATTTTGTCGATTTTTGGTTTTTTCCTGTTGCTTCGTCCTTTTCCCAAAAACCTTCTCGTTTCGTCTGTGGAAAAAACCCCCTTCTTCGCCTTCCGAAACCCTAACTTTTCTTCTTTTTCTCTCAATTTTCCTTTCTACTTTTTAGATTCCGTCGATTCTAACGCACAAAGTCATCACTCCGGTGAAGATGAGACCGCCACGTCATCATTCCCCACTCGTCGGCCTATTCTTCACTCGCCTTCCCGCTCTGTTGAAGAAATCTACAATCCCACTCCTCTCAGTGTTTTACGCCCTTCCGATTGTGCCACCTCTTCTCCTCCACCTCCCCCTCGTCGTCTGATCGATGAATCAGACGATGATATTGTCGACCCCATTCCTCTCACTCGTCGCCATCGACCGGCCTTCGGGGCGTCTGATGCGATTGAGGAGGCTCTCGATGCTGCTGAGGTCGCTCTCGAGCAAGATGAGGATCACGTTCCCCTTTCTCGTCGCTCTGTCTTCTCTAAAGCCACTTCTTCGCGCAATTCCAAGAAAATCGATCCTTCTCAGTCTCAAATCAGGCCCTCGACTACCACCGCTTCTAAAGCTAAATCTGGCTCTGCTACCATCCTTCCTCCTAAGCCTGTCCATATGAAAAAATTGCCCAAAGTCTCTTCTCCCCAGCAAACCTCTTCTTCTTTGCTCATTGCAGGATGGCTAAACACTAATGTCGTCGGTCATCCTGTTGGTTGGGCTTTTAGATCTCCCCGCTTCGGGGAGACTTATGACCATCCGCTCGAAAATAACTACACCTTCTTCGAGATTCAGTTCAAACTCGGGGTCCGCTTTCCCCTATGCCAGAATTTGCTCGATATATGTGACTGGTTTGACCTCCTGCTGAACCAGCTTCCTCCCAATGCTATCCGATTCGTCACCATCTTCATTATCCTCTGCCACATCCGTTTAGGTCAACTTGATTACTGCTATATTCCATCAAAACACTCTCATGGTCTTTACCTCAAGAGCCGCAACGATGTCCACTTCATCTCCGATACCCTTTCTAATGTCCCAAAATGGAAAGACAAATTTTCTTTTGTCGAGCCCATTCCTGCTTTTCCGTGGGCACCAACTCCTTGGCTCACAGAGCTCCCGTGTGAGCATGCCATTCCCCCTCAAAGTGACCTTTTTGACCAATGGATAGCTGTGTGGAACAGCAAGCCCGTTGCGTCGAAACTTCTGCTCGAAGATGAAGACCTTTTACATTTTTGTGGTCTGCTCACCCACAAATCTTGTTCTCGCCCTTCTCAAAAAACCCTCGATCTCATCCAAATCAAAGATGACTCAGGTATTTGCTACGGAATAGGCTCGAGCATCATCATGTTTGTTTCACATATTGTTTATCTGTCGTGGCTTTAACTTGTTCGTAATTTCTTGCAGAGATGCCCACAATCTCTGTGCCCAGGAGGAAGGCTCCGTTGAAAAAGAAGCAAGCCGTCGAGGGGTCGAGCTCGAAGCCCGCTGACTCGACCACCTCTCAGTCCATCCGCTCGACCTCACCGCCCCCTGAGATAACCGTCGAGAAAGCATCCTCAACGAACCTTCCTGTCGACCAGCCACCCGAGCAACCCGAACAACCTGAGCAACCCAAGCAGCTCGAGTAACCGACATCTTCTCCACCGCCATCACCTCCTCGTGAGTCCACCACCCCGGTTATCCACATTTCTGCTTCTCCCAAGGAGACTTTTCTCAAGGAGAATCGACTCAAACGTCCCCCTGTTGAGGGGGATGAAAATGCTAGCAAGCACCGTTGCCTCGAGGAAACGGTGACCTCGATCACCACACTCGACGGCATGGGGGTATCGCACTTTCTTAGGGATGTTCTCCCCCCATCGATCTTCCTACTGACCGTTATAACGATGGTCATACCCTTCGTGACCGGGGCAATCGTGTTGCCCGATGGCTGGCTCAGGTAATCCACTATAACTTGATGTTTATCTATTTTACTTCACTTCCTCTCATTGTTTGTGCCCTAAATTTTTCTTTTATTGTCCTTATAGGGAATAGTCGAACTCGCGCCACTGATCGAGCAGACTTTAGCCAGCTCGAGCCGTTTCATCCTGGCGATCGAGCGAGGCTCTCTTCAGCTTAGTGATCGGTTGGATGAGCTTGTCGTCAAGAGTAATGCGCTCCAACAGAGGCTAAAGGAATCGGCCGCCAAGAATAAGGCCCTTACCTCTGAGAAAGAAACACTCGAGGGAGCCCTTAAATCTTTCGAGGAGGCGCTCGCGGTTGAGTGAGCGGAGAAGGAGGTCTTGAAAGCTGCCCTGGAGGCTGGGGGGCTAAGCAGAAGGCTCTTGAGATTGCGCTCGAGGAGGAGAAAACTACTCGAGCGCGTGAGAACAGAGGGCTAAGCCCTTAATCGATGAGGCTGCCCTCTAGGCGCGGAGGATGGTCTTCCACACGACCGCTGGTCAACGCTTCATGCAAAGCTACTGCGAACAAGTGGTGACTGCCTTCAAGCAGTCCCCATAATATCTGAAGGACGTGCAGGATTGTGGCACTAACTGCTTTGGGGCCATCATGGAACAAGCAGGGGTCCAGATAGCCGAGGATGATTTCGAGGAGTTCAACATGGAAACCATCTGGGATGCTATGCCCAAGGCCCCAGTCGACTATTAAAGTGCCCTCGATCTACCCGACAACCACGACTGGTGGTCAGGTCTGCTGGAGCTTGTCGTGAATCAAGACGACCTACTGAGGCGTACCTTCAAGCTACCTGACGGATATATTCCCCCACTCGCTCGTCAGAACCCGTCATCCGATGGGACGGGGTCGACATCTGGCTCGAGCTAGCCAATCGAGCCCGTCCAGCAACAGCTCAAGCAAACTCCGACTGATACCGGTGCCCATGTTGAACAATCTGTCTAGGATCTTGCTAACGCCCCCTCTTGAAATTGTTGTAATTTGAATTCTCGCTGATCTCTGTGTACTTTTCTTTTGAGTGAATGTTATTATTGTTGAATGAATGTTGTTCCTATTGAAGCATGCGCAATTTCCTTGTCATTTTCCATCAATGCGTTTGTTAGCGTGTTTGCTTATGTCTTCGATAAGCTTGTGTTGTCATGATATGTCGATGTCGTGTAAATCAACTAAAGTCACTCCACTTATCTCCTTGACTAATCACGATAAATTAATCGATCATAATGAATTGAATGCCATTGGACACATGTCCACCCTCAAAGGGGTGGTCATTACATGCGACCATCCAGCCTCTCGACCTTAGTCATGATGGGTCTTTTATCTTCGAGCACATGTCCACCCTCAAAGGGGTGGTCG